TTCAGTTTGGCCCAGTCCTGGATACTGTGGCTACGTGGAGAATCAGCAGATGGAAGAGCTCTCTCTAAGTACGATTCCTAGATGTACTTCTAACAGGACATTTGTGTCAACCACTTAATAAAACACCAACTCAGGCACCTAACGAATGAGACTCCAGATGACAACTGAGCCCACAGAAGGACCCTTGGGCAGGACAGCCAGAGCCACAGCGAGACACCACCACACCCGGCAGGATGGGCGAAACAAGAAGACACTGAGCTCTCCATGTCTGACCGAGCTGCCTGTTAACACACCTGGGGAACCAGCCAAGGATGGTCCGGGGGCTGGGCTGCCTGAACCCACCTGGGAGGCCTGGGAGAAGCTCCCGGCTTTGGGTCAGCCCAGCTCTGGCCACTGCAGCCACTGGGGAGTGACCCAACACACGGGATCCCGGCTTCTCTGTCCAACACTGCCTTTCAACGAGGCAGAAAGCAGGCTCACACCCACAGTGACAGGTCGTGCCCACCCAGTCTAAGTCGTGGCCTCATCTGTCCACCTCAGGCCTAGATGACCTAGGTCAACATGTGTGCACACACACCAACACACATGTTCACAACACGCTCACACACACACACAGCATGCTCCTTCTGCAGCTAACGGTTGTGTACACACACACCTGCATGTCATAATGCACACACGTGAATGCATGCCACATGCACACGGGGGGGGGCAGGAGCAGTGTGTTCCCAGGACTTGGCCTCCACACAGCGGGGCTTGTAGGCACAGGTGCCGGCTGGGGGTCCCAAGTCCCCCCAGCTCCAAGGCTGCTGCACCCAGGGTCTCGGCAGGGGCCGCGGGGCCATCCTGGACAGGCAGCCAGTGTGTGTGTGGGTCCGCCCAGCACTGCCGTCCCTGCCGTGGCTGAGGAAGGGCCAGGGCTCCTCTGCATGTGGACCCAGTGAAGCGGGCTCCGCTGTTCAGGGTTCAGTCCCAGAGACTGCAGCATGCTCTGCCCGGAGGAGGTGGCCTCAGGATGGCCACGCCAGGCTCAATGCCGAGCAGAGTAAGAGTGACTGAGGAGCCAAGCAACGGAGCTGGTGCGGTGGCCCAGGGGACACAGCGGAGCTGGTGCGGTGGCCCAGGGGACACAGCGGGCAGAGCTCAACCTGCAGTGCCTGGGGACACACAGGCACACGCGGCAACACCCTGAGGGCAGGGTGGGTTCTATGCCCAGGGCCAGGCTTCCTGGAGCCGTGCAGACAGCTGGGTGACCACGGGCATGCTCTTGGGAAGGGAGGAGGGGAGGACGCGCTGGTACTTGATAGCTGCCTCGGTGACAAGCGTCCCCCATCGCAGCAGCTCTTCGGTACAGCTCACGCAGCTTGGGAAGGCAGAACCTATGTGGGCAACCTGGCTGGCGGGCAGCCTGGCCCTGGTGGACATTTGGAGTGAACCCACAGATGGTATGTCACTCGCTCTGCCAAAAAATCAGTGAACGAATGGATGAGCAAATCAGTCCGCAAAGCAGGTGGCTGCTGTCTGCAACGGCAGACACAAGGCCAGCCCCATGTGAGGAGCTGGAAGTGCCGGCAGCCAGGTCAGCGCTGACCCGACCTCGGGTGCCAGCCCAGCTCCTGGGCCCCGGCCTCCTTCCCAGAGGCTCGAGCAGCAAGGTCGCCGTGCACAGGGGAAGCAGGTCCAAGTTCTGTTTGCACATTTTCTTCCACGCGCCTTACTGGCTTTACACTGGAAATGGGTCACCCGTGTGCGCATGCTGAGCCACCAGCCAGGGCGTGGGTCTCAGGCCGGGGCTTGGGGAGACTCCAGGATAGGCCCCGATTTGTGGCAGGGCAGGGAATATCCAGTGAGGGTCTGTGCTTCTTAATGCGTGCTGTGCACAGGGAACTGTGCCAGATGAGGTGGGTGCCCAAGGGGTGGTCAGCAGGTCACGTCCACCCCTATGGCCAACGGCCACTGCCCTCAGGCCCCCCAGCTCTCGGGGAGACACACCTGTCCCGTAGGCATCAATGCCGCATCATTTATCACTTACTTTAAACTGAGAGAAGAGTTCTTCTATCTACTGCTCCATGACCCAAAACCAGGAGCTGGGCACTCCATCTGGGTCTCCCTGGGACTTGAGCCTGCCCACATGGCTTCTTCCCAGGGCATCCAACGGCAGGGAGCTGGAGGCAGGAATTAGAGCTTGGCAGTGACCCCAGTGCACTCTGACAGGGAGCCAGGCGGGCAGGTGTCTCAATTGGCAACCAACAGCTGTAGGATCTGTGCGTGCAGGGTCTCGGAGGACAGCTTTTCTGCCGGGCCCAGGGGTGACGCAGAAGCAGCTCCCCACGCTCCACACGGCGTGGCCACAGATCTCCCAGCCTCATGTGCCCAGCCGTCTTCCCTTCCCGGTTCTGAGTGTGTGACAAGTGACCATCCCCCACTGGCTGTACGGCCTTGAACATGGAGATCCCTCCAGTCACACATGATGGGCACAGCTCGCTCGGAGCTCATGTGACTGACTGACCCAGGCCGGCCACCAAGTACACACTGGATGTGAACGGAGCCCGGAGCCTGGGCATGGGAACATGTCTGCTGGAAAGAACACACTGCTGCCAGGTAGGTTTAAGTTCATTTTATTGGAAAAATTTCCCACATGTCAGATTCACATAAGAGACTTCCCCCCACCCCAACATGTAGCTAGACACAGGGAACGGCAGGGCCCGGGGGCGTCACCAGGGGACCCTCACATGGGCAGCCCATATGGCACTGGTGGGGACAGTCATTTAGCACCTGCTCATGAGCAACACTGAGACCCCAGACTCCCCACCTGGGGCCCCCAAGACCACACTAACCATGGTGTGCTCAGTGGAGGTGGGAGAGACACTGCTCACACAGGGCTGCCTGCACCCCATGCCCCATGCCCCTCTCTCCCACACATGGTCTAGGCAGGGTGGGTCAGCTGCTGCAGCCTCCAGGCCCTGGCCCGGCCCATGACTGGCACGGCCAGGGCAGCATTTCTGGGTGAGCTTCAGCCTCCAGGCCCACATGCAAGGCCCTGCCCTCCAGGGGAGGTGACGCTGGCTGGGACCTTGGGCAGCTGGGGCTCCCAGGAGGCATCTGTTCTTGGGGCCGGGCAGGTCCTGGGCACTCCTCATGGGACTCCTGCGGGGGGCAGGCACAGCCATGCAAGGTGCCTTCCGGTCCTGTGGCCACGCCTCACAAACTCTTTGGTGGTTCTCACCACGTGTGGGCAGCTGTCAGCCCTACAAGGGGCACGTAACAAGGTCGGGGACAGGGAGCAGAGACTCCACAGGGGGGACTCCTGCTCCACCCTTCCTGCAGAAGCACAGCCGGCGACACCACGAGCCCCACTCCCAAGGCCTCCGAAGGCAGGGCTGAGGATGCCAGCCCTTCTCTGGGAAGGAGCCCCGTCTGCTCCCAGAGGCTCCCACGCCCTCACAGTGCTGGGAGCGGGCCGCAGGACACGGGCCTGCAGGATGAGGCAGCTGAGCTTGGGGCTGTAGGGACAGCCAAGCAGGAAGCCCCGAGCCTGCTGCCCTGCCCCGGGCTCACACACACATGTGTGTGCAGGCCTGGGTGCTGACCGCGCCTCTCGGCACACAGCATACGGTGTGCCACTTAACGGCCTGGCCCTGCCAACTGGGAACTGTTACAGCGGGTTCCTCTCCCAGTGCAAAACGCTGCAGAATATAAATTGCAATTAACACCCGTGCCAACATAGCACTTGGTGAGAATCGGCATGTTGTGAGCGTCTGCTGGCCCGTCCTGGGTGTGGAGGAAGCACAAACTCCCGCTCCAGGCCCAAGGGCTGTGACGGGGCGTGGCAGATACATGGGGGGGCACCCCCAGTGGGACCTCACCCCTGGGGGACAAGGTTCTGCAAGGAAGGGACATGGACGCCAGGGCACCCAGTCCTAGGGTTTTCCAGGCAACCTATCCCCTCAGGGCTGTGGTTTCTCACCTATCAGGCTGCGACAAGCATTGCTCCGATGCAAGGTGACAGGTGGTCGGTTCCAGGCAGCCCATGCCACCAGCCTGGGAGTCACCCTTGCGGCTCCCCAGATGACACCTCAGAGCTCTGCAGAGATGGCCAAGGCTGGAGTTGGTTCCAGCACTGACAGCTGACCAGGACCATGGCTCTCAGAGAAAGGCTCCCTGTGGAGCGTTCCCCGCATCGGCCTGCCAGAGGACCGAGGTCCTTCCGGCACTGCAGCTTGGAGCACTGAGGGGCTGTCCCACGCTCCACCTGGGGCCCTCCGCCCCACCAGTGCAGCCGGCCCCAGCACAGCCCATGGAGCCTCCAGGGGCCCTCCACCCCACCAGTGCAACCGGCCCCAGCACAGCCCATGGAGCCTCCTGGGGCCCAACAACCCAGCAGTGTAGCTGCTGGCACGTTAGCCCCGGAGCCCAGGGACAGTCCGGGACTAGTGCCCGTGGCCCAGGGAAGCGAGAGGAGGGCAGGTGGCGGCACCCTGGGGCCCATCACCGAGGGGCCTGCTTCTGGGTGGGTGCAGGCCTGGCCACAGCCTGCTTGGGACAGTGAGGCAAGACAGGGGGTAGGCGGGGATAAGCCATCTGCATGGGTGAGCCACACAGACAGGGGACTGGCCCTTCCCTGTTATGCCAACTCGGCCCCAGGGAGCTGGTGCTGTCTGTCTCCATCCAGCAGTCCCAGTCCCAGGGACCCCACTGGGCCACACACACTGTCTGGAACGAGACGTCTTGGGATAAGACTGGGTTAAAAATGTGCCTCCAGATTTGCAGCCACCACAGAGCTCCCAGCAGGGATAGCCAACCCCTGCACGGCCGCCATGCCAGGACACAGCAGGACCCCAGGGCCGCACGGCCGCCATGCCAGGACACAGCAGGAGCCCAGGGCGTGGGTGCTCAGGCCTTCATCTGTCCAAGTCCTTGTGTAGACTCCCACAGACCCTGCAGGTCACTTGGCCCAAACTTCACCGAGCAGTGCGTGCACGCTGGGACAGCCTAGGTGGGCACTGGATGGCACCAGCAGTGTCCTCACGGCGACAGCCTCGCTCACCACCACAGGTTGGGTGGCTCCTCGGCCACTCTGCTTTTAAACAGGGTAATCTCGTCCAGGTGCACCATGGGCACGTCCCGAATGACGTCCGTCAGGCCCTCGTGCAGCAACGGGAAGATGACGACGTTCAGGGCGGGCCGCTCGGCCTGGAAGCTGAGCCAGAGACAGCGGTCAGGGACGGCGGTCAGGGACGGCGGTCAGGGACAGCGGTCAGGGACAGCAGTCAGGGACGGCGGGCAGGGTGTCAAGGCCAGGGATGGTGGGCAGGGGCGTCAAGGCCAGGGACGGTGGGCAGGGGCGTCAAGGCCAGGGACACCGGGCAGGGGCTTCAAGGCCAGGGACGGTGGGCAGGGGTGGGTGCCAAGGCTCTCCCATGGGGCTCAATCTCCCTGTCAGGCCTGCAGACATGGGTGATACTAGGGTGAGCCTACATGAGGGCTATTCATGCAGCTCCAAGAGCGGGGGAGGAGAAGGGAGGTGGGAGACACAGGTGGGAGACATGGGAGGCTGCACTCCCTGGAAGGGCAGGGCACCCCTTCCACAGCCAACACAAGACTCAAGCCAGAGGGGCCAGCCCTGCGCTGGAGCCGGCACAGGCCCCTGAACTGCAGGGAGAGCCTCCGAGGCCAGGCGGCCAACTCTGCACAGCACAGGTCACCCTGAAGGACATCCCCAAGTCAGGAGACAGGGGCTTACGAGGCAACGGTCGGGACCTCAGGCATCCATTTGGTGGGCGAGCAGCTCCCTGGCCCTCGCGGCAGCAGCACCACGCCCTGCCATGCTGAGTACCATGCTGTCAGGTGGGCATTGGGTGGAGTATGGGGGCTATTCTACCCTTCCCAAATCTCCCAGGCTGACCACAGTCCCACTGCTGGGCAGGGGCCAGGCAGAGTCCCCTGTCTGGTCAGAGAGGCCAGGGAGCAGTGTTAGCCACTCCACCAGGTCAGAACACGATGTGACACCATGACAACCAACGTGCCACCGGGAGCTCATGTCAGGCAGAGGGCACAGTGCCGTCCACAGAGCAAGACGGGACAGGCCCAGGGCCGGCCGGGCCCAGGCAGCCAGGCCCCTCCAACAGCAGGGTGGGCGTGGCCCTGGCTCAGCTGCACCAGCAGAGGGTTGCCACGAGGGCACAGGAGACACCGGGCAGGCGCCAGTCCACCTCCCAGCTCTGCTCAGTGCTGGTGGCGGCTGCACCCATGAGCTTCGCAGGCCATATGGCAGACAAGTCCCTGCCCACAGCACTGTTGCTGAAACACAATCTCACAGACAGGCTCTCTGAAGACCCCCCTCCCTGGGGGTCCTGGGCAGCTGCTGTGGGCACAGGGAACAGAGTCTGCCCTCCCCAGCAGCAGGACCCTGAACTCACATGACTGGCCCCAAGACCTCACCTCGCTGCTTCCGTTTCCAGCTCACACCTGGGCTAACTTGTCCCCCTGGCTTAAGTCAGTGTTTAGAGGAGTGGGCCATGGGTCTTGCCAAGGCAGAGCACCGGGGGCAAACCAAGCAGGGAGGGTAGAGAGGCCCAGGGGTGCTGTTCAGGCCACCATGGGTGCTGCTAGTGTGGCTGCACCTGTGGGTGCAGTAGAGGAGGAAGCTGGCCGCATGGAATGCGGGAAGGGGCTGCTTGTGCAGGGGAGGAGCTGAGGCCACGGTGAGGGTGGGGCCTGTGACGGGGTCAGTGGCTTCACAGGAGGGGGCACCAGGGATCCCCCACGGGCACTGCCTAGACTCCAGCTGCTCCAGTTCCCTGTCGCAGTCTGGGAGCGCAGCACAGGATGGACCCTGTGTCCACGTGGGGGACCTGGAAGAAGCTGCTGGCTTTGGGCTGGCTTAGCCCGGCCGACTGCTGCGTCCATGTGGGGAGAGAAGCAGCACTTGAAGATCTTTCCTCTTTCTGTTTCTCCTTTCCTATGTGACTGTGCATTTCAATTAAATGAATCTTAAACAGAGAAAAAGGAAAGAAGAAAAGAGATGAAGAATACACGGACAGAAGAAGGCAGACAGACACACTGCGAGCCGGACAGAGGAAGGCCAAGGCACAGCTGCGGCGGCTGCTCCAAGCCCAGGTGTTTGCAGAGGCCACGGCAGTGCCAGGGCCCCCGGCTTCCGCGTTCAGCTTCTGGGTGCGGAGCCAAGCATGGAACATGGAAGACAGGGTGAGTGGGCTGTCAGGCTTCCCACTGCTCCAACTGCCCGGGGCTGTCTCCAACCAGCCTGGTCCTGGGGAAACCTAGGCAGTCACGCCGCAAGTCGGCAGTGCAGGCTAGGCAGCACCACACTGACCCCAGGCCCCGGGCACACGCCTGTGAATGAACAGGTGGCGGGTACGGCCCAGCCCTGCTAGCAGTCACAGACAGGGACAGGCAGGTCCACCTCTCACTCCAGCATTTTCTGAGCTCTCAAGGATGGAAGACGAGTGAGACAAGAGAGAGCAGCTGAGAAAGTTAACAATCCTGGGCATCTTCCTTTCCCGGTCGTGCAGCGGCTGTGGGCCACAGCGCCACCTACTGGCGCCCTCCGCAAGAGCATCTGCAGGACAGGACCCACAGCGAGGCCTGACCCCACAGCCAGCAGGTGCCAGATGAGGGCAGGACCTGCAGGGGCTGCAAACCATGGCTACCTGCAAGCAAGTGGGGTAGACACAGCTGTGCACTGGCAGGTGCCACCAGGGAATTCTTTGCCGATGTCCACGGTGGGGAATGTCTCTGCTCCATTGCTGGCCCGGCTGCAGGATTTCGGGGCTCAGGCCTGGGTGAGAGCCAGCATGCCGCCAGCAGGACCCTTTGCCACTCACTGCAGTGAGCTCCTGTTCTCCGGCCCCACTGTTCCCCCACTCTGGGTCCTTGTTTCCCATCTGTACATTGTGGTGACAGCATTTACCACTCAGGGTTTTTACACTTTGAGCAGCAGCAGCAGCACTCTGCCTGGCTCCAGCCCGGGGCCTGTGTTGGGACGCAGTGGTCTACATGGCCACTTAGGATGCCCACCACCATCTCCAAGTGCCAGTTCCAGTCCTGGCTGCTCCACTTCCAATCCAGCTCCCTGCTAAGCCACCTGAGAAGGCAGCAGAGTCAGCTTAAGCACTTGGGTGACTCGGATGGAGTTCCTGGCTCCTAGCTTTGGCCTGGCTCAGTTCTGGCTATGGTGACCAACAGATGGGTGATGCGTGTGTGACACTGTGCTTTCAAGTGACAAACAAACCTCTTTAGAGTGGTTAGCACAGGACAATGGCTGGAAAGAGAGCTGCTGCCCTGATGTGTGGGCACGCAAAGCACCTGCAGGAAAGACGGAGATGGGCAGACGTTCTGGCGTCTCCTCGGTGCCAGGAAGGACCATGGAGAACCAGCAAGGCCGTGACCATGGTGACTGGAGGGATAGCGGCATGGGAACATAACTGTCCCACACACACCCTTTACACTGGATCTGTAAGGCCACCAGCAGGAGTCCAGATCTCCATCAGCGTCTCCCACCCTCCAGCCATTACCTGCTGCCTCCCAGGGAGATGGGCAGGAAGCGTGACAGGGCCCCAAATCCTCAGGCCATTGCCACTGTCTCCCAAAGACGGTATCCTCAGCAGGCCGGATCAAGGCTGGAGCTAGGTAATGAACTCAGGAAACCCACAGGAGGGGCCACAGAGTCAGGGTCAGAGCTAGGTAATGAACTTGGGTACCCACAGGAGGGGCCACGGGCTGCAACCTGCCTCTCCACAGACTTCCAGGAGCACAACTTGCTCACAGACATCAACTTAGGCCGGGCGAGCAAAGAAGAGCTAAGAAGTGAGGGGTCCGATCCCAGCCCGAAAGGACACAGCCTGCACTAGGCGGGCAGGGACAATGTGAGCGCAGGGACAATGAGAGGGACGCAGGAAGCTCACTGCGTAAATGAGTGTCCCGGGTCCGCACGGACACCCAACAGACATGCAAAACAGAAGGAAATGTGCAAGAGGGGTGGGGCTTTCTCGTGGTACAGCTTCAACTAGCAAACACATGAATGAGACTGCCAGCAACCACCCAGGCAACCCGCACGAGGACAGTGCTAGGTACTGCTGGACGGGGCCGGCAGTGGCCTCAGCCAGCAAGCGCTGCTATCCCATATGGGCGCCAAATGTCCGTCGCTCTGCTTCTGAGCCAACTCCCAGCTAACGGCATGGGAAAGCAGTCCCAGACAGCCAAGTCCTTGCAGCCATGCACCCGTGCGGGAGACCTGGCTGAAGTTCCTGGCTTTGGTATAGCCCAATGCGGCCATGGCAGCCATTTTGGGGAGTGAACCAGCAGACGGAAGATCTCCATCTCTGTAATTCTGACTTTCAAGTAAAATACATAAGTCATTTTTGTTCACCTGGAAATCAGATCTGAGGCCAAATGGATGGCATGAGGCAGTGCTGGGGCTCACGACACTGCGGGGAGCAGCAAAGCAGCCTCCTGTGACTGGCTCGGCACCTCGCACTGCACCTCCCAGCCACCCAGAAGTGTGAGGGGTCTCCCCAAAAGCTCATGGCAAACGCACGTTAGCGAAAACCAGGCATAGGTTTCAAAATCCTTTGACAACAACTAAACCTTCAAGCCCGTTTTTCCTGGGCTTCTGGGCGGTCACGGGCGATGAGCAAACTGGGCAAGCCCTGCCAAAACGCCACCCAGGGCACAGGGAGCTGGAAGACAGGCCCCTGGGCACTGCCTTCCTCCCAAGAGCCTCTCCCCATGGACAGGGACTGGCAGGAAAGCAGCAGCCAGCACCCGGCCCGGCCCAGGACAGGCCAGCGACCTCGGCAGCCTCAACACGATGCCTGCAGTGGCACGTGGCACCTGTTCTGGCACAGTCTTGCCAGAGCTTACAAAGCTCAGAACGACCTCCCCGTAAAAGGATGCTGGCCAAACTCAAATGGAGGGATGTTCTGCAAAGCTGCCAACTTCCCACAGCGTCAAGGCCTGGGAAGGCCAGCGAAGACGCACAGGAGCTGCCTCACGCAGCAGACAGAGCTACGAGGCAGCTCAGTTCCTGAGACAGCTCACAGCCGACACACGCAGACGAGAGGGGGACCCCAGGACGCCCACTGTGCTTGGACACGGGTCTTCCAGGGTGGGAACATGCTCCCGCCCCTCGTAGTGTTCCCACTTCCTGAGAGCACTCCCAGGCGCCCACACCCAGCACTCACCTGCGGAGGAGAGACTGCTGCAGGCTCTTGCAGGTGGCGAGGGACTCGCCGGTGAACAGGTGACACACAACAACATGCCGACAGCGTGCCATGAAGGCCAGCACAGCGTCGGACTGCAGCGTGCCACTGCGGGATACCAGGCAGAAGCGCTGCAGGGATGGGCACTGGCTCAGCGCCTGGAAAAACTGCGTGTTGCCGCTGAAGTGCGGCTGCTCCAGCCTGCGGGAGAGAGGCCCCGTGAGGTCCTGCCAGGGTGCCCCGGCTGCCCCTGCGCCTGACTGTACCACAGGCCCCTGAAGTGCTGGGTGGGGACTCCGGCACCCATGCTCTTAGAGCACCCGATCTGGGGGTCACGTGCTGCCCACCTCCCCCCCACAGTACACCCTTCCTCTAGGCTGATATGGGAGAGGTATGCAGACCAAGGGACATGGGGTCCCTGCCCTGGGAGGCTCGGTGCGGTGGGGGCAGGTGCACCCCCAGCAGTTCGATGTACCTGGGCTGGAAGAACCACCCCAGCCATGACAGGAGTGGTGGGCAGCACCAGGGGAGTGCCAGGCTAGGGGGCGGCGCCTGCAGACAAGAACGGGCTAGAGATCCCTGCCCAGCAAGACGCACTCGCACAAAGGGACGGGGAGCCAGCAGCTCGGCACAGCAAGTGAAGCCACTGCCCGCAGCGCCAGAACCACACAAGAACGCATTTACATCCTGGCTGCGCTGCTTCCAATCCAGCTCCCTGCCAACACGCCAGGGACAGCAGGGCACCCACGGGGAGACCCAGACGGAGTTCCTGGCTCCTGGCTGCGGCGTAGCCCACAAACAGCTGCTGTGAGCATCTGGGGAGTGAACTAGTAAACACTAAATCTCTCTCTTTGTCCCTCTGCCTTTCACTGAACACAAAAATCAACATTTTAAACAAAAATATGCTTCATACAAAACAACAACAACAAAAAACACACAGCATCCACCGACTGGCAATAGTGCTGGGGATACCAAAAGGGAGTCCCCAGGGCTGCTCTGGGCACAGGAGCGGGGGCAGGCCCTCCCTGGGCAACCACATGGAGCAGGCGCAAGGGCCTGGCAGAGCCCAGGCAGCCAGTAAGCAGTCACTCGCAGAGCAGGCACACACACGATGGACAGACGGGCCAATGAAGAGGGAGGGTCGGGACAGACACACACACACACACACTGCAGTGTATCTACACACACACACACTCACTCTCTCTCTCTCTCTCTCTCTCTCTCTCTCTCTCTCTCTCTCTCTCTCTCTCGCTGCAGTGGCTGTGCTGCCACCTGTCACTAGGTGGCGCTGAGAGGCTGCACTCCCCCATCCGGTCTGGAGGAGCCTCTCCAGTTAGGGGCTGAAGAGCTGGCAGGCAGGAAGCCCCTGTGTTCCCCCAGGACCCCCAGAGCACATCGACCCAGCACCCAGGCGCAGCAGGTCCAGGCATCAGCCCACTGAGGAAAAGGCTCTGAGGGTACTTGGCTTTGCTTGGGGTCTCAGCCCAAGCCCTACTCCCCAGCAGAGAGCTGAGCCTCACGGGGGTTCACAGTGCCAGCAATGAGCGGGGCAGTGCCAGCCTCCTGCCAGCATGCATTCCTATTCCCATGTGGCTGCTGGCCTGGTGCCCAGGTCGGGCAGCCCAGGCAGGGTGGCTAGGGATGAGACGCACCTGTCCTTCTCTCAGCAGGCAGCGGGGAGAAGGTGCCCTCTTCTGCCCACGCTGCAGGGCTCCAGCTCCTCAGGCGCTCCTGGGCGCTCCGCGGGCACTCTCGGGGCCGTAGCCAGGACCACTGGCTCCTGCACGCTCCTCCCTGCCGCAGCTTGGTGGGCACAGCAGCCCTGGGGCAGAGTGCCCACCTCACCTGCTCCCCTCCTGACTTGCCAGACGGAAGAGGCCCAGGGGAACATAGCAGCAGGCTGCGTCTGGAAGTTGGCGTGTGCTCTGAACGGGCAGTTCCAGAAACACAGCAGACGGCAGGCACAGAGAGGCCACGCATGGCGGGTGGGGTCCTAGGTCAGCCATATGCCCACTCACTCCAAGGCTGGCAGCGGTACATGGCCTGCTCCCAGGGAGAAGCTGGGCCAGGCCCTGAAGGCTGCTGGGCGGCCATGAACTGCTGCCATGCCACCCTGTGTGGCAGCACACATGGGCATCTGTGGGAGCCAGGCAGGCACAGCAACGCCCGGGGCCGCACTCTTCCTCAGTCTCACCTGTCCTAAGCCCATGAGGGCACTGGCAGCCGCACAGTGTGAGGGCAGTCCCCAGCCCGCTGGCCAGAGGGGGCCGCAGGCGTGGACGGCCGCTGTGGCACATGCCCAGACTTAGCACACTGGCGCCTCTAAACTACAGGCACACACTGCTTTTCCTGGCTTCTACTGGCTTCTGTTTTGTGCAAGCACCTCCTGATAACAACCCAAGGGTCTGGTTCATGCAGTCAGCTAAGCACATGGTGTAAGGGGCTGGCAGGAGAGGAGCCCGCTGCCCCAGAGGCCAGGCTGAGGCTAGGCTGGAAGCAGCACAAGGAGGGGGCCTGGGCAGCAGCCCACTTGGACACTCGGCCCCTGCCCACACACTGAGCACAGCTGCTCCAGGGAAGGTCGGGGGAGCCAGGTAAGACACAGCGAGGCCCAGAGGCTGGCGGGAGAGGGCAGTCGAGCAGGCATTTCCACGCGCCCTTCGGGAATCACAAAGTGGGGTCAGAAAGACCTGGATTCAGATCCTGGCTCCCTCACTGCCCAGTCAGCCAACAGTCCCAGGGGCTCCACGAGACTACAGCGACATTGTCAGGAGCCCAATACGTTCAAGAAACAAAGACAAAGACACCAAGCTCGGGCGCCCCCGCCTTCCCCAACCCCCGGCCTGCTCCAGTCTCTAAGCCCAGAGCCAGCCTGGGCTGCACTCCAGGCCCGGCACCAGCGCCCACCCCGGCCTGGGCAGGCGTGCTGTGCGCCCCTCCCATCACGTCAGCCTGCGCCCTCACCTGAGGTCCCTGAGCCGCTTGCAGTGCTTCAACATGTCCGAGAGGGCAGGCATGTACACCACCCTGCCCAGCACGCCCAGGTTGGCCAGCGACAGAGACTGCAGCTGCTGGCACTGCAGGCCGATGCTGAGCAGCCCGGAGCCCGTCAGGATGCTGGGCAGCTGGGCCAGTGTCAGGTGCCGCAAGAAGACCAGCTGGCCGATGGCAGCCACCTCGGAGTCCCCGACGCTCTGCGCACGGCTGCAGGGTGGCAGCGAGTTGCGGATGGCAGGCTCGTTGCGTGGCATGGCAGAGGAAAAGTTGGAGCCAATGAGCTCGAGGCGCTCCAGGAAGGGCAGGGCCTTCAGCAGCGACCAGAACACGGAGGAGGGCTGGGGCGCTGTGGGGCTGGCGCAGGTCTGCACGCCGATGCGCACCTTTTTGCCGAAACCACGGGGCACGGCATGCGTGGCAGGCGGGGCGGGCGCACGGTCAGCCCCTGGCGCCGGGTCGGCCACGGAGCAGACGGGCAGGGCGAGGGAGCGCAGGTGGCAGAGCCGGGCCAGCAGCTGGCAGAGGTGCCGGCCCAGGCCCTCGGAGCTGTGATGGTGGGCGGCAGACAGGTTGAGGTGGCGCAGGTTGCAGCAGCAGGCCACCAGCGTCTCCAGGATGCCACTGTCAATGTCATCCTCGGCCTTGCGCAGCAGTGAGTCCGGCGACAGGCAGTGCACGCAGCCGCTGAGGTTGAGGCTGGCCAGGCTGCGGAGGTCACGGCCGCTGTGGATGACCCGCTGCAGGAGGTGGCCGCCGGACAGGGCGCAGCGGCTGAAGCTGAAGTAGAGCGGGTTGCGGAAGCGCAGGCTTTGCAGCAGCGAGGAGCCGTTGAGCCAGGACTTGGGCAGCTGCAGGGCGTCCAGCGTCACGTTGCGGGCCATGGAGTCCAGCAGGTTCTTGGTGGCCCCGCTCTCGGCGAAGCTGCCCGGGACGGAGATGAGGAAGGCGTGCAGGTTCTCCGGCGTGCGGTCACTGAGCACGGCCAGGTAGAGCCGCACCACCTCCTGGTTGACATAGCCGGGTGCCAGGCGGGCGTAGAAGACACGCAGGTTCTGGTAGTGGGGCACGTTGCTCTGGCCCACCATGAGCTGCCCCGAGAGGATGGCACCCTCTCGAGTGCGGTCCAAGATCTCAAAGTAGAGCAGCAGCCGCTCAAGGCTGGTGCAGCAGGGCACCACGCCATAGGAGGGCGTGAACAGCGTCTGCTTGAGCTCCCGCACGCGGCTCAGCGTCGCCTTGCACTCGCTGCTCAGCTGGCCAGCGTCGAAACCAGGGCTCACGTCGATGGCCAGCGAGCGCAGGTGCGGCAGAGCCGAGAGCATCTTGGAGAGGCGCAGGGAGGTCAGGTGGCAGCCCGAGAGGTTGACCTTGACCAGGCTGTGGCATCGTGCCACATGCTCGATGGTGGCACCCGACAGCCAGTAGCAGCCAGCCATGTTCAGCTGCTGGATCTCCCGGCCAATCTCCTTCACCAACTGCTTCACCTTGTCCTGGCTCGCCTGCAGACAGCAAGACCAGGGGCTGGAGCGCCTCATTCTGCATCCCAAACACACCCGGCCAGCTGGGGGAGCCCCCAGCGCCACGGGGAGGCAGGTGGGTTGGTGAACCGTCATAAAGCTGAGGGCACAGCGGGGGCCCAAGTGCCAGTGTGCCAACACCCACAGCAGCCCACCGGTGGCAGGATGCCTGCCTGCCCACCCACACATTGCAAAATCATTCAGCCACACAGGGAGAGAAGTGCTGGCTCCCGGCATGCCCCGAAGGAGCCTCGAGCGCAGTCAGACACTACGTGGCATGCCCTGCAAACGCCCCTTCCTCTCCCGCTCCAGCACAGGTGACACACAGGGACAGGAGGCAGAGCAGAGGTGCCAGGGGTCCCAATCAGGACATGAGGAAGGGGACAGAGGCAGTGAAGCCCACACAGCAAAGGTGTGTCCCCCACTTGCCCTCTCAGCCCTGGCTTCTGTCACTTCCTGGTGCCCACGTGCTGGCCCTGTCCCACCCTGGCACCCAGGCTGCCTCACCTGGTAGTCCTTCTGCAGCAGCACCGTGTGCACAAGGCTCTTGTCCAGGCACAGGGTGGCAAGCTTCCGGCAGGTGCGCCGCACGTTCAGAATCAGGTCTGTGCTGGGGACGTGGCTCAGGATGTGCAGCAGGATCTCGTCCGAGAAGCCCAGCAGGTGGGGGCCGCTGGCCACGTCGGCCGCGTGGGCCGCCTCCTCGTCAGTGGACACATCCTGAAAGGAAGGATGTCCCGGCATCACGGTGGCAGCTCCCGGCCCGGCTCTTCCACGCAGGGAGGGCCTTGCTCAGGCTTGTGCGAAAGGAGCTTTTAGCAAAAACCTGAACAGCACCGCACAGAACTGTCCTCCAAACCCTTTCCACATTGGCAAACCAAACTAGGATCTCTTCAAAAATGAAAGGTGCCAGGGTGGACGCCCACGCAGCAGGCTCACCGCCCCCAGGGCAGCGGCATCCCACCAGGGGTGCCTGGGATTCAGGCCCAGCTTCAGCCCGGCTTCGGATCTAGCTCTCTGCTCGGGCAGCTTGGAGGCAGCAGAGGGCCCACGCACCTGGCAAACCTGGATGAACTCCAAGCTCCTGGCCTCAGCTGAAGCCATCTGGGTAACGACCCCGGCATCTCTTTGCCACTCTGCCTTTCAAATAAATACAAATGAGTAGAAGATCTATTTTATACAAATCTTACGTTTTCACTGAAGGGTTCAGGCCAGTCGCCCAGGCCCCGCCCTGAGAAGCTGCTGTTCCCTGGGAGGACTCCAGCAGGAACCCACTGAGCACAAGAAGGGCGCCCTCGCCTCCCAGGCTGACCACTGCAGCAAGTTCGGAGAGCCTGTGGGCCAGTGGCTCCTTCAAATGGAGCAGGGGGTGCAAACAGGCAGCTCTCCTTGAGCACTGGGGAGCACACTGCACAGTCCTGGATAAAGGCCCTACAACCCAGGAGGGCTGCCAAGCTGGCACTCAGCAAGACGGCAGGGAGGGCACACAGGAGAGCCCTGTCCCACGGTGCCTCTGGGCCCACAACTGCACAGTGACCAACCTGGAGGGAACTGTGGCGGGCAGCATGGGTGGTTCCCAAACACAGTGTAACAGGCACACACATGGCATCTACATTGTATCTTGTGGCCCTCCACTCCCAATACGCACTTGGCAGGCTTCCATACTTTTGCCAGGAAATCCCAGCTAAGGACAAAGAAAGGCAGAGGACCCTGCTGAGGGAGTGGGCCTGCCCGGTGGAGGGGCTCAGCGCTCTAAGGGTGCCTCCCTGCCCAGCTCCTTCCTGCCAGCAGGAGCCTATCTCTAGCCTGCCCCTTTCTCTACCCCGCTTCCTGCTCACACTGCCAGCTGTCTCTGAACGCCCTGCTGCTGCCATGGCAACCGTGCAGTCCAGAGTGGAGGAGCGCTGCACAGGTTACACATGACGCAGGCTCTGCGCTCGCTCGCCCGGGGAAGCGGCTGTCACATCCTTTCATCTCCATCCAGCCCGGCCCTCACGCAGGCCCACACAGGTGGCAAGGCACGCTGCCCACCAAGGGGACCACCCAGGGCACGGAGGAGGACCCTCCACTGTCCACCACAGAAACGCAGGACGGACGCCAAGGAGAGCAGCCAGGCCGAAGGCCAGCAGCCCTTACAGGCCCCGCAAGGCCCTCACAGAAGAGGCCGCGACCAGGGCAGCTGCCCTTTCCCTGCACCCTGGCCCAGCTCCAGCCTCCAAGGCCTCAGCCACTGCACTCTTTTGTTCTGGGGCAGTGTTGGCGGCAGCAAGCGACCCATTCCCCCTCAGCACGCGACTTCCCATAAACCAGGTCACCCAGACACCTTTAGAAAGCAGATTCCCGTGGGCCAGTGTTGTGCCTCTGTGGACTAAGCAGCCACCCGAGGTGCTGTCTGAGCACAGGTTCAAGTCCTGCTCTTCTTGTGCTAATGTACACGGAAGGGCGGCAGCGGGCGGCCCAAGTGGTTGGACCCCTGCAACCCACATGTGAGAGCCAGACGGGCGCAGGGTCCCAGGGCTCTGGGCGTCCTCGGCTGCTTTCCCAGACCACAGGAAGGGAGCTGGGTGGAAGCTGGGACATGAACTGGCACCCACATGTGAGAGCCAGACAGGCGCAGGGTCCCAGGGCTCTGGGCGTCCTCGGCTGCTTTCCTAGACCACAAGCAGGGAGCTGGATGAGAAGCGAGGTAGCTGGAATATAAACATGCCCATATGGGATTTTGGTACATGTAAGGTAAGAACTTTTAGCCACTAGGCTACCCCATCAAGCCCATAAACAGAGCTTCTAAAAAATAAAATAAAATCCGATTCCCAGGGCAGGTGTTGTAGTGCAACAGGTTAACCTGCCGCTTGGGACACTCATGTCCCACATTCGGGTGCCAACCACCCTGCTCCAACCCAGACTCCAGCTACCTCTGGAGAGAGCAGGTCCTGAGTCACGTGCCTGTGTCCCAGGCACTGCCCAGCCACCACAGGCATCTGAGGAGAGAGCAGCAGGACAAAAGAACTCTGTCCCATGGGCCCAGCAGATACCCTGGCGGCTAAAGTCCTCACCTTGCATCCAGCAGGATCCCATCCGGGCACCAGGTAGTATCCCAGTGGCCCCACTTCCCACCCAGCTCCCTGCCTGTGGCCTGGGAAAGCAGTCGAGGACGGCCCAAAGCCTTGGGACCCTGCACCCGCGTGGGAGACCCAGAAGAGGCTCCTGGCTTCAGATTGGCTCAGCTCTGGCTATATGCAGCGACTTGAGGAGTGAACCAGAGGATGAAAGATCTTCCTCTCTGTCCCTCCTTCTCTCTGTATATCTGTCGAGAAAGAGAGAAAGAGAGAGAAAGAGAGAGAAAGAAAGAAAGAAAGAAAGAAAGATAGAAAGAAAGAAAGAAAGGAAGGAAGGTCCGGCAGTGAGGCCTGTTCTCACCTTGAACGTGCCATGATCCCATATGGGCGCCGGTTCTAATCCCAGCAGCTCCACTTCCCATCCAGCTCCCTGCTTGTGGCCTGGGAAAGCAGTCGAGGATGGCCCAAAGCCTTGGGACCCTGCACCTATGTGGGAGACCCAGAAGAAGCTCCTGCCTTCGGATTGGCTCAGCTCCGGCCACTGTGGTCATTTGGGGAGTGAATCATCGGACGGAAGATCTTCCTCTCTCTCTCTCCTCCTCTCTGTATATCTGATTTTGTAATAGATAGATAGATAGATAGAAAGAAAGAAAGAGGCCTGTTTCTGGCAGACATTGGTACAGCACTGAAGCAGTCATCTGGTATGCCCATACCCCATCTGGGATTGCCTGGCTCCATCCCAGCTCCTCCACTTCCAATCCAGCTTCCTGCTAACCTAACCAGCAGAGGATGTGCGAGACCCCACCACCAATCCTGGCTCCTGGCTCCTGGTCCCCAGCACTAGGCTCTGGCTTAGCTCCTGACTCGCAGCCCTTGGCCCCCGGCCCTGGCTGGCCTGGCTCCTGGCTCCTGACCTTTGGGTCCCCAGCCATGACCTGGCTCCTGGCTCTGGCTCCCGGCCCCTGGCCTCCGGCACCCAACTCTGGCCTGGCTCCTGGCTCCTGGTCCCTGGCCCTGGCCTGGCTCTGGCTCCCAGCTGTTGGGGTCCGTGCAGTAGATGTGGGGGACATAAAGGGGTGAAGAGTGTTCCATTGCAGGCAGGGCCGCAAGGAATTTCCTGCTGTTCGGCAGGGCCCGCCTGGCGGATGTCTCTACAACCACCTGAATGCAGCTCCACCTTCTTTTGCATGGACACAGGACCACCCTGCGGAAGAATTCTAATCCATCCTGGCATTTGCTACTGCGAGGTTAACCTTTTGCTCAGCCTGAGCTTGGAGGTCAATATCTTGCAAAAAGGTCCTTTATCATTCCTACTGTCTCGGCTGTCCCCATTGAACCTATGCTAATGAAAGGACCTGTATTTAGGCTTTCATTCTTTCCTTGAGCTTTAAGTTCTCCTTTTCTTTGTGATACAAGATTGAATTGTAAGATAAGAATTGTAGCAGGAACTTCTAGGTAATACTATGGCAAGAGTTATCTTTAGAAACACCCACTTGACCATACCGTAAAAAGTCTGGGCCAGAGTTTGACTGATTTTGTATAAATAAAGCGGACAGCTTTCCCGCGTGGTCCATTATGATGAAGTCCTAGTGGTCCGTCTTTCTTTCCTCTCTGCACCTCATCCATGCACCCTTCGCGAGTTCCGAACTCAGCTGGAGCTGGACTGCAGCACACGTCTGCCCACAGCTGCAGGAACCCGTGGGCTTGGGCGTACCTGCTGCTTTACCAAGCAGCTTAGCAGGAAGGTGCAGGGAAAGTGGAGCAGTCGGGACTCGAAGACCAAGCTGGTCCCTGACAACGGACAAATGGAAAAGCCCTGTCTCCCTATCATGTTGCCTTGCAAATAGAGCGGGGAAGTGGTGCAATGGTTCAAAAGGCTAATCTTTTACCTCCAAGTACTGGCATCCCAGGATGGCCCAAGTCCTTGGACCCAGCACACACGGGAGACCCAGAGAAGACTCTTGCCCAAATCGGCTCAGCTCCAGCCATTGTGGCCATCTGGGGAAGTGAACCAGAAAATGGAAGATCCGTGCTCTCTGCTTCTCCTTCTCTCTGTAAACCCGTCTTTCCAGTAAAAAATAAACACATCTTCAAAAGGGACAGAGAAACCAGCTAAGATATCCAACCCTCTGGTTCGCTGCCCAACTGCCCAGCTCCGACTGACCAGGCTCCTGACACCCAAGTGGGAGGACCTAGATTGAATTTCTGGTTGCTGGATTTGGCACTTGTGGCACCTCGGTGAATCAGGTGATGGGACTGTATTTTGTCTCTTGAGAGAAAAAGCCAGGGAGGCGGAGGCTGGGGTGCCTGCATCTCCCGAGAGACGGCCCATGTGTGGGTCCTGACTCCCTGTTGGAATGCACACTGGGCGGCAGCAGGCATGGTGGGCACCCTTGGGTCTCTGTCAGCCACATGGGGGGCCCAGATTGGGTTTCAGGCTTCAGCCTGACCCACTCCCAGCTGTGACAGGCATCTGGGGAGAGAAACAGCAGAAGGAAAAACCTCTTTGGATGTGCTCAAGTGCAAGCAGTGCGACATGAACAAGGCGCTGAAGGTGCATAAAAACCTTGAGCACCCTAGCCAGTGCCCCATCTCTCCCTTCTCTCCTCAAGCCCACGGCCACGCCCAGGCGCTGCAGGAGCAGAGCTTGCCCCCTTGGCCAGGCTGCCCACAAGACCCACCATTCCCCATCCCCAGCTCACACCAAGTGCTCAGCCACTGGCACCACCAGGCTGCCCCTCACCTCTTCCTCAGGAATCTGCCCTTCCAGCTGTGTCCCCCCTCCTGCAGTTGGGCACCACACTTCCCCTGTAGCCATCCGGAGCCACCTTCGAGCCAAGTTCATTACAGAGAGCCATCCATGTCCCATCCGGTGCCCATCTCTCACGTTCCTGCACCCCAGAACCCAGGCAAGCCCTCTGAAACTTACCCGGGATGGCCTGAGAGTCCTGGGGTGACACTTGCAACCAGGACCACTTAAAGGAAAAACAGGAGGGAGTACAAAGCCACCAGGCAGGGTCCAGACCCCTACATCCCGGCCTACAGGAAATACCTTACACCCCATGCTGTGTGGCCTGGGAGGCGCCCCAAGGCAGGCCGAGACCCCCTTGCATCCCATGCTGTGTGGCCTGGGAGGCGCCCCAAGGCAGGCCCAGACCCCCTTGCATCCCATGCTGAGGCAGCCTGGGAGGCCCTCCAGGCCAGGGCGGGACCCCCTTGCATCCCATGCTCTGTGGCCTGGGAGGGACCCCAAGGCAGGCCGGGACCCCCTTGCATCCCATGCTGAGGCGGCCTGGGAGGCCCTCCAGGCCAGGCTCCGACCCCCCAGCCCAGCAGGTGAGATGGTTTCCCTTCATCACCACCTCCCGCGCCTCCCAAGTCCGAGAAAAGTGAAGGTAAGCGATCCGAGACGTCAAACCGGGAGGGAACGCGGGCACGGAGGATGGGGGCGTGGGTGGGGGTGGACAGGAAGCCTCCAGGCGGCCGGGGTTAGTCCACGCCAGGCCCAAGCGGGCCACACACATCGGGATGGGCAGGTCCAGCAGGGAAGGACGCAAGGTGGCCGGCCGGGGTCGGGATGGGCAGGTCCTGGGCGGCCGAGGCGAGAGCAGAAAGCAAGAGTGGAGACAGAGAAGCGCGCGCGGGGCCGTACCTCTCCGGAGCTGGCCATGTCTCGGGCCGAGGAAGCCGTGTCCAACGCTACCTGCCCTGTCTGGGATGCTCCGAGCCGGCGCGTCCGCGGCTCCACGGACACCCCGGGGAGGGGCGGGGCAGCGGCCACTTCCGGCGCCCGCGGCACGCATTTCCGTTCGCGCGCCGGCGGGCTCCGCGCGGCGGCCATGTTGGGTGTGGCGCTGCCTGCTCGGGCTGCCCATAAGGGGCACGGTTGCTCACCGCGGCTCTGGCACCGGGCTCTGCCAGCTCGCGGAGGAGCCGGGAAAGCTTCCGATGGGCCCCGCCTCCTCTCCGGGCTCGGTTCCCGGCTCCCCTGGCCTCTGCACGCCTGCTGTCCGGTCTGTGCCTCTGCGCGGTCCCACCACCTGCTGTGTCAGCAGGCCTCTCCCGGCCCTTGGCCTGGGCTTTGCTAACTGCACCAGCTAAGTTACTGTATCTTTCCATTTTTATCCGCCCGCCACCTCCCACCCCCTCCTTCCAGTAAACAGCCAGGATTCCTGGCCCCGGGCGGGCGTGGTTCAGCACTGGTCCTGGGATTTCAACATTTGCCTGTAAAGGGAATTTATTATTAATTTTTTAAAATTCAGTTGGGTCCGCCGCGGTGGCTTAGAGGCTTGAAGTCCTTGACTTGAGCGGACTGGGATTCCATATGAGCGCTGGATCTAATCCCCTTCCCATCCAGCTCCCTGCTTTGTGGAAAGCAGTCAAGGACAGCCCAAGCCCTTGGGACCCTGCACCCGCATGGGAGACGCGGAGGAGGCTCGTGGCTCCTGGCTTCAAATTGGCTCAGCTCTGGCTGTTGCCACCACTTGTGGAGTGAATCATGGGTTGGAAGATCTTCCTCTGTCTCTCCTCCTCCACATATCTGACTTTGCAATAAAAATAAATGAATCTCTTTTTTTTAAGATTTATTTTTATTGTTTTTTCATTGGAAAGGTGGATATACAGAGAGGAGAGACAGAGAGGAAGATCTTCCGTCCGATGATTCACTCCCCAAGTGAGCGCAACGGCCGATACTATGCCGATCCGAAGCCAGGAGCCTCCTCCGGGTCTCCCACGCAGGTGCAGGGTCCCAGAGCTTTGGGCCGTCCTCGACTGCCTTCCCGGGCCACAAGCAGGGAGCTGGAAGGGAAGCGGGGCTGCCGGGATTAGAACCGGCGCCCATATGGGATCCCGGGAGTGCAAGGCAAGGACCTTAACCACTGTGCCACTGCGCCACTGTGCCGGGCCCAATAAATGAATCTTTTTTAGAAAATCAGTCATGGCTGCAGCCAGGATAGAGTGGCGTTGGTGGGGGTGGGGACTCCCATCAAGGAAGCTTGTCCGGGAGCCACCCCCACACGGCAGCTAACTGGGGGTGCGCATTGTGGTGCTGTAGGTGAACCCCAGCACCCCAGATCCAATGCCCACCTGCTTTGGATCCAGTTCCCTGTGGGTGTGCCTGAGATGACAGTGGAGGAAGGCTCAAGTCTGGCCCCTGCACCCGCGTGGGAGACCCAGATGAAGCAGGTCCAGGCTCAAGCCTTGGGCCCCGCCCAGCCCTGCCTGTTGCAACCATTTGGGGAATGAACGAGTCATTCAAACATTCAGCCTGTCTCTTCCCTTTGTAACTCTGGCTTAAAAATTTTTTTTTAATTGTTAAGAGAAATTTTTACAAAAATGTACATGTTCCTGGGGCACGCAGTGTTTTACTCTATTGTGTAATATTCAAAAGTAAGATAAGCGTGTTTATCTGCTTTATCATTCCTAGTCCTTGCTCCAGGCCTTTTCTTCTTTTTGGAAATTTTTTCTCTTCCCCGGGACATGGCTTCCAAGGACTCTCTTCCCCTGGGGCTGACCTCATCGGCAGGGACAGGCTGTGCCAGGGCCTGCTTCCACATAAGGTCACAGTCCAGGCGGCTCCAGGTGGACCGGAATCCCCAGGCTGGGAGTTTGGGATTGTGCCCCGCCCCCGGCCCGCCCACCCGCCAGGGTGTGCAGGTGACTCACCTCACCCCTCACCACCACTGAAGTACAACTAAGAATGTGTGTGCACGGGTTGGGGGTCCCATCGTCCACTGCCTGAGCCCACCGCGTGTCTCCTGGCCCGGTCACCATGACGTCGGCTCTGATGGAATGCTCGCAGCTCCCCGACGGCCACCGCCCTGCCCCGCCTGGACCTTGCTTTCCCTGCTGCCTGCCCTCCCACAGCTGTCCTCTGATTCTCGCTGGAGCAGGTGCAGGGCGTCACTCCCGCCCCACCCTGTGGAGTGAGGGCTCAGGCCTGCTGGACCACTCCTGCCTTGCCCTGCCCTGTGGCTGTCACCACCATCAGGGCCTAGGCCTGCTGGACCACCTATGGGCAGAGCGAAACCCAAAGCACTCCTCCAGTGGAGGACCCTTCCCACAGCGTCCCGGTGGCCTTTGGGTCTGAAGGCCTCCTCCTGGCAGGGCCCACAGGTCAGCTTGACCCCACACCTCCACCTTGCAGCCCCTCTGGAAGCTAAATATAGAGAATGGTGGTTTAGTTCCCAAGCCACTGCTTGTGCCCTGTGCCAGCCCTGTGGATCACCTGTCATCTCGTGGAGTGTAAGGGCGAGGCGGGGCTGGGATTCAGGCTTAGGTCTTTCCCTCTCTGGAAACTCCCAGAAGCAAGGCCCGATTCAGCCTGTGGGCCCCTGCAGGGTGGAGACAGCAACAGTGCACCCCGCCCTGGGGAAGCCCGCAGGCTCCCTGGGTGCCGGACACTGGCCCACCCCCACACCTCTCACCTCCCCAGCAGGACTTTCAGAGGAGCCATGACCTCCCAGCTCCTGCAACTCCACAACGACCTTTAGAAAAATTAACTTAAAATGTGTTTATTCGAAGAGCAGTGACACAGAGAGATCCACTGGTTCACTCTGCAAACAACCGTGACAGCTAAAGCCAAGAGCCTGGACAGAGCGACAGGCCCCAAGTGCCTGAGCCCTCTGCTAATTTCCCCAGGTGCTGGGTCGCAATGGACTCGCCAGTTGCCTGTATGGAAGCCAATGTCACAACCTGTGTGGGCAGAGGAGTGGACTGCCCAGGGCTGATGCTGTGGCACCTGAGGCTGCTGCCTATGATGCCCGCGTGCCAGGTGGCAGCATCAGCTGGAGTCCCAGCTGCTCCATTTCCAATTGGGCTCACCGCTACTGTACCTCAGCAAGTGCTTAAAGGCCCAAGCGCTTGGGGCCCTGTAAGCCAGGGAAGCAGGCCTGGCTCTGGCCCCGCTGGATAAGCTGCTCACCAGGCTTAGCCTCCCCTACCCTGCGGGGGCTGTGGCCACATCCCGAGGCTGCCTCACCTCTGAGCTTGGCTCCTAGCAAGGACAGGCACAGGGTCCCTCCATCCTGACCACTGGGCACAAGGAGGGGTCAGGGTACAGGGGATGAGCTGGGATCCCCCAGGACCCCTTGTCAGTGCCAGACATGGCTTCCCTCTGAGCTCCCCAGGGAGCTACATTAGATGGGACTGTGGTCGAAGGGCATGATGGTGGGGGGAAGGGGAGGCTTGGGGCTAGCCTAGGTGTGCAGTGAGTGGTGAGGGTTGCGTCCTCTGGCTCACCAAGGCTTGGGTCCTGGGTTCCTGATGCTGCCCTCACAAAGGCCTCAGGGGATGGAGCCCAGCTCCTGGGCCCTGAGGCTATCCCAAACTGCTAGGAACAGGTGCTGGCCACCACCGCTGCCCAGGGTGCAGACAGTGAGTGGCATGTGATGCCCCACTCAGGTGACCAACCACCAGCAATTCCCATTTACCCTGTGCACCTGCCCCGGGTGATACTTGAAGCTTCCTCCTTGGGGCAGCTGCTTCCTCCCACCCTCAGGCCTGGCTTATAAACCATCCTGTTGGGTTTTATCCAGAAATGCTGGAAGCCAGGTGTTCCCATACATACTGGTCACTCAAGGGACAGCCACTCTATCAGGTGGCCAGCCAGGCCAAGACCAGAAGTCCCCACATGGGTGTCACTCACTTGGGAGGCAGTACCTGCTGTCCTACTGGCCCATGGGCAGGAGTTGGATGCAGCTGGACTCCAGCCAGTACTGCTTCTCCACCCTTCTGTGCTCCAACCCCATTCAACACACTCTCAGGACTTTGAACACAGTACAATTTCAACCTCAGAAGCTTCCCGTTGCCCAGCGCCCTACAGTGGGCACTCCATTCTGGCCCCTGAAAGCTACCACCCTCTGCACCTGTGCCTGCCACTCCTGCCCAGTCCAAGTCTTACGCTTGCACCAGCCACTTGGGCCAGGCAGACCCCTCCAAACCCTAGCAAGGTGTGCTGTCAGGGCTCCTAGCCCCGGCCCGGCCCCACCCATCCCCTCTCCCCTCCCCAGCAATGACGCAAGAGCCTCGCCTTGTTTTACGGTGTGCACTTTTATTGAACTGGTCTCAAGTGTACAGGTAAGCCCGGGATGCCTCCACACCTCAACCCACTCCCAGGGAGACCAAAAGCCTTCATACGTCTAAGTCGGGGGGACAAAAAACAGGGGGGGTCACAATGGCTGACCATCCAAAATAAAAGGAAATTAAAAAAGTATTAAGGCGAAGATCTAAAAAATTTGCATTACATAATTTACACGAAAAGCAATGCTGTGGCCTCGGCCGGGTGTTCCCAGCCAGGACTGCGCTGTTCCTCCCGCGGGAGGGAGGAGTGGGCTCGTGGAGGGCAGGGGGCTTCCTGTCACGTGGCATCTCACAATATTTGGAATGACTATTAAAAAAAAGAACAATGTACAATCAGAGTCCTCGGCCACATTGTAGAACTTTGGGGTGCTCGCTCCAACCGACTGCTGTCACCTTCACCATTCCAGTTTTTAAATCCTGAGTCAAAAAGCGCCAAGAAACAAAAAATAAAAACAAAACAAAAAAAAACCAAAACAAAAAACCAAAAAACAATAAAGCCATGCCAATGTCATCTCGGTCTGCGCGGGTAGGTTGTCGCGGGTCTCACGCCACTAGCCGACAGTCCGCCTAGAAGCACTTGCGGTGCACGATGGAGGGGCCGGACTCGTCATACTCCTGCTTGCTGATCCACATCTGCTGGAAGGTGGACAGCGAGGCCAGGATGGAGCCGCCGATCCACACCGAGTACTTGCGCTCAGGGGGAGCGATGATCTGCAAGGAAGGAGGGAGGGCGTGGTTGGCGAGGTTGGCGTGGTTGGCGAGGTTGGTGAGGCCCGCCGGCCGCCAGGGCACCCCCACCGCGGGCTCCCCCGCCCACTCACCTTGATCTTCATGGTGCTGGGCGCCAGGGCGGTGATCTCCTTCTGCATGCGGTCAGCAATGCCCGGGTACATGGTGGTGCCACCGGACAGCACGGTGTTGGCGTACAGGTCCTTACGGATATCCACGTCGCACTTCATGATGGAGTTGAAGGTCGTCTCGTGGATGCCACAGGACTCCATGCCTGGGGAGCAGAGGCCAGACTGAGCGCCCTGGCCCGGACACGGGGGTCTGGGGCACCGGGCACGGGGCACTACTCACCCAAGAAGGAGGGCTGGAAGAGCGCCTCGGGGCAGCGGAAGCGCTCGTTGCCGATGGTGATGACCTGGCCGTCGGGCAGCTCGTAGCTCTTCTCCAGCGAGGAGGAGGACGCGGCCGTGGCCATCTCCTGCTCGAAGTCCAGGGCGACGTAGCACAGCTTCTCCTTGATGTCACGCACGATCTCGCGCTCGGCCGTGGTGGTGAAGCTGTAGCCACGCTCCGTGAGGATCTTCATGAGGTAGTCGGTCAGGTCCCGGCCGGCCAGGTCCAGACGCAGGATGGCGTGGGGGAGGGCGTAGCCCTCATAGATGGGCACCGTGTGGGTGACGCCGTCGCCGGAGTCCATCACGATGCCCGTGGTACGGCCGGAGGCGTACAGAGACAGCACGGCCTGGATGGCCACGTACATGGCCGGCGTGTTGAAGGTCTCGAACATGATCTGCAGGCAGACGGGCAAGGTCAGGCGCGGCCAGCCCGGGGCAGAGCGGGCGCTCAGGCCGGGGCGGGCACATGCAGAGTGCGGGAACACAGCACGATGTGCCAGGGGAGGAGGAATGCCGTTCAGGCCTACTGTGCACCTGTCTCACACACACCCCAGGCGCGGGGCGGCCCCCACGAGCCAGTGTTAGTACCTACGCTCACAGCACTGCGCTTAAAAAAAAAACACCTGGTCAGAAGGACAGACACCAGAAAAAGAGCCCACAGCGGGGCAAAGCACACAGAACCTGGAGAGACAGATCCAAAGCAGATCAGGTCAGAGTCCTGGAACAACGGCAGAAGAGAGAGCCGGTGAGGCGGGCGGCCGCGGGAGGCAGGGGACCCGCGGGCTCGGGAGGGCCGCTGGCCACGCACCTGGGTCATCTTCTCGCGGTTGGCCTTGGGGTTGAGGGGGGCCTCGGTGAGCAGCACGGGGTGCTCCTCGGGGGCCACGCGCAGCTCGTTGTAGAAGGTGTGGTGCCAGATCTTCTCCATGTCGTCCCAGTTGGTCACGATGCCGTGCTCGATGGGGTACTTGAGGGTCAGGATGCCGCGCTTGCTCTGCGCCTCGTCGCCCACGTACGAGTCCTTCTGGCCCATGCCCACCATGACGCCCTGCGGGAGGAAGGGGCCGGGCGGCCTCAGCACGGAGCCCGGGGCCGCAGCCGCGACCCCGCCTGCGGCCAGGGCGGACCCCCAGCCTTACCTGGTGCCGCGGGCGGCCCACGATGGACGGGAAGACGGCCCGGGGGGCGTCGTCACCCGCGAAGCCGGCCTTGCACATGCCGGAGCCGTTGTCCACAACGAGCGCGGCGATATCGTCATCCATGGCGAGCTGCGGGGGTCGGCGGGGAGACGGGCGCGGCGCCGTGAGCCCCCTGCGCGTGCGCGGCGCCGCGAGCCCCCTGCGCGTGCGCGGCCGCCCCCGCCCTGCCCACTTCCGGCGCGCCGCGCTCGCGGGCCGCCAGGGGGCGCCGGCGCGCGCCCCGCTCGGGGACAAAGGAAAGGCGCCGGGCCGGCCGCGTTGTGACCATAAAAGGCAAACGCGGGTCCGCGGCAGGAAGCCAGGGTCCCCGCCCCCTCCCGCTGCAGCTCCTCCCTGCCGCGGGCGGGGGGGGAGGCGTCCGCCGGACGCGCGCGCGCCCCGACCACACCCGTACGCGGCCGCGGCGACAAGCAGGAAGTCCGCGCAGGCGCCGTGGCGGCCCCACCCCTTCCGGCCGCGCGGCCCCGCCCTCGCCGCAGCCCGGGACGCGGCACCCGCGCCTCGGCGAGCCCCCCCCCGGCCCGGGCCCTGGTGCGCATGCTCAGCAGCGCCTCCCCAGCCCCCACCCGGCGGGTCCTGCGGGGCCGCGCGCCCACCCCCGTGCAGCGCCCACCCCGCGCCGCGCCCACGGGAGCCCCTCGGACAAAGGGCCGGCCTGGCTGCCCGCTGCACCGGCGGCAGCGCCTTGCAGGGCGCGCCCGAGCCCCGAGTGCAGCCCGGCCGCGTCTGAGCCCCGAGTGCAGCCCGGCCGCGTCTGAGCCCCGAGTGCAGCCCGGCCGCGTCTGAGCACCGAGGCTGCTGCGTGCGCCCCCACGCTCGCGGCCCGAGTCCCCCCGGGGTGCAGTGTCCAGCTCCCGCGGCGTCCGGCGCGCCGAGCGGGGGCTGCGGGGCCGGGGCTGCGCGCTCGGGCCGTGCACGGGCTGCGCTGCAGCTGCGCTGGGCGTGCGGGTGCGGCAGGCCTTACCTGGGTGGCGGGTGTAGACGGGCGGAGGATCGGCTAAGCGAGGCGAAGGGCTCGCAGGCGGGACGCGGTCTCGGCAGTGGCTGCACCCCGCTCCGCCCGGGTTTTATAGGGCGCCTCTGCGGCCGCTCGAGCCATAAAAGGCAACTTTCGGAACGGCGAGCGCTGATTGGCCCCGCGCCGCTCACTCACCGGCCTCGCCGCACAGTGCAGCATTTTTTTACCCCCTCTCCCCTCCTTTTGCAAAAAAAAAAAAGAGCGAGAGCGAGATTGAGGAAGAGGAGGAGGAGGGAGAGTGGTGGCGTCGGCCGGCCTTGGGTGCTGCGGGGTCCACGGCCGGGGGCGCGCCCCGGCAGCCGCCCTGCCCGGCCCTCGTGGCCAGGCCTGGAGCGCGCCCGCCCCGTGCGCCCCTGTGCTGCAGCCCCCCCAGGACCCCCTTGCGCCCCGGTGGAGGGGGGCATGTCACAGGGCAGCTTGAACGAGCGCCCAGGGGCCGAGGGTCAGTGCGGCGCCCTGAGCTGGTCCCGCTGCGGGACTTGGCATGACCCCGGCCGGGCGCGTGCGCGGCCCTAGCTTGCCAACTGTGGCTGCCTTGCCCAGGAGGCCTGGGCCGGGGTGCAGCCGGCTCGGCGGGCAGGGGGCTAGGGTGTGGTGTGGCGAGAGTCAGGGTGAGGGGTCTTGTGTCTGCTCCGGGGCCCATGAGCCACACCAGGAGGGGGCCTGGACAGGGGCGGCTGGTGCCAGGCTGGGGGAAGGCTGTGGCCCTGCCCTGCCACCCAGACCTAGGGAGACAGTGGGCTTCGCAGGAGAGAGACTTGGCCAGGTGCCAGGCTGCGCCCAGCGCCAAGGCCAGGCCTGGGACCGTTGGCTGGGGACCCAGGCAGCTGCCCAGGCACAGGCCCTGTGTCTGTTATCAGTCCCCGAGCGTTGGCTGGGGACCCTCCTGCAGGATGACAAGGCCACCAGGGACGTGGGAGTGGGCATTGAGGGGCGAGTGATGGAGTGGGAGGGGGGCTCGCAGGCGCTGTCAGGAGCAGACCCCAGCAGCTGACCTGGGGCGTTCCCTAGCAACCAGAGCAGACACCCCCCCCCCCAGGGAGCCCTGGGGCCTCCTGAAGAACTGGCACCTACAGGCCCCAGGCAGCGCACAGTAGGGCTCTGTGCCTGCTCAGCGGTGTGCAGTGACGGCTGCGTCCATATATGGACTTAGAACCTGCAGCTGCCTAGGGGTGGTTGGTCCAGCTCGTGGCCCGGGCTGGGGGCAGGGCCGGTGCAGGTTGCAGCCAGGTGGAGGAGGCTGGGGGGTGGGGGGCAGCAGCAGCCTTCCGGCGCCATGCCCCCAGCCTCCCCAGGGAACAACCACAGAACTGTCTCCCCACCCCACCCCCTCTACCACCACTGCCCCAGGCCGGAGCACTTTCCCAGCTTGTCCACTCCCTGCCTCCCGGGCGTGGACAGGACTGCCCTGGCCTTGCATCTGTGTCTCTCTCGGCATCCTGCCAGCAGACTCTAGACCTGCCAAACCTGCCGTTCGCAGGGCCTGGGCCCAGGGTGGGAGTGTGCTGGCAGGGGGACCCTTTCTGTGGGCCCGTGGTCACCGGGATTGCAGAGCAAGCTTGACCCCCAGACAGGACCTGTGATGCCAGGGCCTGGTGGGGGCACCATTCCCACTTGGCCTCAGGACCATCTGTCTACAGTGGCCTTGGGCTGGTGCTCTCCTATGCACCCTTCAAAGCCCACCCTGGCAGGCCCCTCCTTGGGGGAGTCCTTGGCACCCGTCAGCCGGCGACACTGGTTAATCCAGCATCCCCCTACAAAACTACGAGCACCCCCCCCCCCCCGGGATCTCCAAGCCCCCGGTGGCTGTGAGTGAGGGTTGGCCACGCCAGGGACCTTCGGGCTCAGGACTCTGGGAAGGCGGCTTGGAGGGGGACGGGGTGGGGGTGGGGGAGCTGCAGAGGGGACAAGGAAAGAGGAAGTGGCCCCGGAGGCCGGGGGAGGGGCGCCGGGCGGGCGGAGAGGAAGCGAGCAGGTTCTTCTTCGCTGGGAACTTTGGCCTCGTGGGGAGTTTTCAGGGTTGTTGCCTCAGCAGGCTCAGGGCCATCGTGCGCCCTCACGCCCGGCTCAGCCAACCGGACGCCACCTGCCTTTCTGGAACATTCTCTTCCCTCCCAAGGCCTCGCACTCTTGGTTCCTCACCCACCAAGGCCTCGGGCAAGGGACCATTCACAGCCCACACTGGCAGATGGCTCCCAGCCTGCCGCCCTGCCTGCCGCCCTGCCTGCCGCCCTGCCTGCCACCCTGCCTGCCCAGGGCACCCGGGCCCCAGGTCACTGCCGGGCGAGACAGCTCTGCTTTGTAAAGACAGTGAGAAGAGAAGCACCCCCCACCCCCAGAGATGTGGGTTGGCTGCATGGGGACCTGCACAGGGGAATATAGCAGTGAATAAGGCGTTGGAACATTCCAGAACACACACCCCCTTTTTTCACAGGTAAAGAACTTTGGGACAAGGGTCTGCCCCTCCCTGGATGGAGTGCCCTCTGGAATGTCCCAAAGTCAAGGGCTGTGAAGTTCACCTTCTCGGTCCCCACCCCTGCTCACCAAGCCCGGGCCCCCAGGGCCTTCCCCGCCTCCTGCTGCCTGCTCCCAGGAACCCGCTGAATTGAGGCACACATCCCACTTGCTGCCCCGTTGGCCTGGCACAGTGAGGGGAAAAGTAAGCACAGCTCATGAGATGGCACCCCAAACCAGATGGATGGCCCAGGAGGGGCAGGCAGGGAGGGCTCCCCGGAGGAGGTGGCAGTCAGGTAGGCAGGGATCCCCTCCCAGTGGCTGGAGCCTGCCCCACTTCCCCTGCTCCCTGACACAGCCAGTGGGCTCCAGGGTGTCCCTACAGAAGAACTGGGCACTGACCACCAGTTCCTGGGAGTTTTAAAAAAAATCTTTGAAAACCACCTTGCCTCTCCCTCTCCTGGGGGGGATCTGCAAAAACTTCCCTCCCCTCCCCGCAGGGAGTTCCCGACCTGGCTCATTTGCCTGGGTTCTTGAGTAGAAGCAACGTCCCCGGGCCTCGCTGCTTCCTCAAACCTCTGGGACCCCTGCCTTCTCCAGGTGCAAGATGGAGCCCACCTTGAAGCCCAAGAGAGCTAGTGCTGGTGGGGCAGGCCGAGGCCCTGCAGAGCCAGGGTCACCTGCCCAAGGCAGCCTGTGAGCTCGGGGCTTCCTGGTGTCCTCGGAGCCTGAGGAGCTGGGCAGTGGGAGGACATTCAGCAGCATCTCCAAGGTCAAGTAGGGAGATGGCAGAAACGAAGGCAGGAGCACCGGTGCCGCCCAACCTCTGGGCAGAGGCACCCGGGTCTCTCCACACACACACACACACACACACACACACACACACACACACACACACACACACACACACACACACACACGGCAGTCATCAGGCTGCCCTTTTCGCTGCCCCAGGCCTGTGAGCTGGCAGCAGATGGAAGCCCAGAGTGGCTACAGGTTATGGGTCTTCTGGCCTGTTCGCCATACTCTGTGGGGCAAGTTGGATTCTTCCCACTTCTCAGGCAAGCAGACTGAGGCCCATGATGGGAGAGGCTTGGGCCCTGCTCACCTCACAGCTTGTCCAATATGCCCAGTACTGGACCTAACCTCTGGGGCCAGGTACGGGCCTCCAAGGGGCCTCCACTCTCCACCCCATATTGCAGATGGGCAGACTGAGATTCAGAGCAGCCAGTGGCAGGGGCTGCCCGGCCCCCTCAGCCACCATGCCTGGTCCACGGGTCGCACACGACCCCATGAGCTCCAGAACAGGCACCAGCTCCACCGCCGCGGGGCTTGGGGCCTGCCCGGCAGGAAAGTCCGATCAACCAGGGCCATGAAACCTCATCAACAGGCCCTCCTGGGGCGGAAATCCGTGCTGCCCACTGGGCTCCCTGGAACCTGAGCTGGCCCTGGGGGCAGGCATGGGCCCTCTGGGGGTGGGCATGGCCCCACTGCAGGTTTCCTGCCGCCTGCCCCAGGCTTGGCCCTCTGCCAGCTGTGGGGGCCACCCGCAAGTCCCTTCCCTGCAGCCCCTGGGGACACAGAGCGTGACAGTCCGGGCGGAATTGGCCTGGTCAGGGAGAGCACAGGGGCTCCGCAGTGTGGGCAGTGATGGGCAGCCCAGGCAGGGGCTTTCCTTGGTACTTGGCCAGCAGTGGGAGCCGCAGGCGACAGCCAGGGCACCCCAGACCTCCCCTCCATCACTCACTTGGTCTCAAAGGCCTCTAGGACTGATTTGGGGTCCCCTGTGTGTGCCTGAGCCCACCTGGGCTGCACAGACACACAGCACTGGGGGGGGGTGATGGAGCAGGGGTACACGGGGGGCCTGAGGCCGTGACTAGGAGGCAGACGAGGGGGCATGTCAGGGAACAAGCCTGCCCTGCCCCTGAGAGCCAGTCCCATCCCCGAGTGAGAGGAGCAGGTGTGTCTTCCCAGGGCTCCCTGAGGACTGTGCATCCCCACGGGGAGCCTGACCCGCCGGTCCAGTGCTTGCATGGCTGAGAGTCCCAGCACCCTGGCTAGGGGACTCCAAAATCTTCCTTAGCAAGGACACTTCAGAACTTAGAGGTCTTCAGGAGCTTGAGGAAAAATGACACGAAGCTCGATTCTGCTGTTGTGTTTTTATTTGAAAGGCAGCGAGACAGGATCTTCTGTCTGCTAGCTTGTTTGCTCCTCCAGAGCACACTGTGGCTGGATGTAACTGCGTAGGGCTGGAGCCAGGAGCCAGGAACTCCATCTGGGAGCCAACTGCTTGAGCCACCACCTGCTGCCTCCAGGGGCACACACTGGCAGGAAGCTGCGATGCGAAATGGAGCCGCAAACGAAATACCACCTTAGGGTCAGCTTCCCAGAGAGCTCCCCTGGCCACACAATGTGAGCCACCCCAAGACCGGTGAATGGTCCCCATTGGTCCACCTGCCTGCCACACAGAGCGGGGCAGAACCGAGCAGTGATGAGGGCGGCGAGGCCTTCAGGCAGGGAGAGTCAGAGAAAGACACAAGACTGTCTCAGTAGGGAGGGTCACTCAGCAGGTGCAAACAAAGCCCCC